GTTTAATAACCCTTCATTATAGCTAAGCCTTTTGCCTAAATGGCAATTTGGCTCCCATCTCCTGAACACTGCTCCCTTGCATTAGACTTTTTACAATAGCTGTAATTACAGTTGCAAGCTCTGCTTTTATTTTATGGGAGCTGAGGTAAACCTGTCTGATGTCACAAATGTTGATCCTCAAGTACAGCCACATCTGTGAGGCAGTGTCCCTGAACAGCGGGATCTGATGGATGAGTCACAGCAAAGACCTGCTGGTTTCCTCATTAGCCCTGCCTACTCTCAGGACTGATCTCTCTCACAGTTAATTTTAAGCAGCCATCCTGCTGCTCTCTTGCCTCTTCCTTTTGCCTCGGCTTGTCAGGATTAGACAGTTTAACCAGTGACCCCAGTTGTCATCAATCTCAATATTGAATGCACCAAGATAATACAGGCAATTCTCTGCTCTGTGAAGACAGGCATTTATGAAGTATTTGTGAAGCCATTTTAGCTAAAGAAGACAGACAGCTCTATTTCATGCCTAATATTGCCTGACAGGTGTGGACACACCCTGGGATAACTCTCTTGTCATCCTGACTAGAAGGTCAAGAGTCTACATTTGACAGAGAGAATTGCCTTTGGCACTCTGACAAAAAAATGAAAACACAGCAGCATGCAGAAAAAAAAAGCAACAAACCCCTTTGTAAACCAGATGTGCCAGATTTAACATTTCCCAGAGCTTAATTCCTTTTAAATTTTGTAGCTCCTCTTTGAAGATTATCCATGGCTAAACCAGAAAGTTTAGCTTTTGTTCTACTAGCCATTATCAGCTTACTGTTTTAAACATCTCAGGCATGGCAGGCATTGGCTCTCTCTCCACTACACTCCTCTTTTCTCCTTTCCTCCCCATCCAGCAACACCCACCTCCTTCTCCTTCTCCTCTCCTCCCCTCCCCTCCCTTCATTTTCATGCTTTCCCTGGGGATCTCTATGGAATACCACCCTGTGTTTCCCTGCCATGCCGAGAATGTATCGGAATTCTACTGTGGAAGAAGAGAGCAGGGGCTGGCCTCGGTAACGGCAGCAGCACTGCTCTGACCCCTTTGTGGCTTTGGGAGGAGACCCCAGTCCCACCAGGTTAAGACGGGTGGGCTCCAACAGAAAGTTCACCAAAAGCTCAAGAGCTCAGTAGTGGGGCTGTAAGACATATCAGGAAATAGTCTAATCTCTTGGGCAGTGCACATTTCAGCGGCTAAATCTGAGCCCACTCCATTGGCACATGTCAGACCCAGGAGCATCATTTCCTGCTGAGGTAGTAAAAACAACTCATATACAAATTTTGTCTTGATTTTAATGAAAATGAGGTTTTATATTTGTTAACAAAAAGTAGACACATTGTTGCTTCAAATTTGTGCAGAAGAGAGTTACATGTTAATAGCCAAGAATCAGATTATTTCTTTGCAAGGAAGAAGTAGGAATGAGTAATTTTTACCATGGGGTTTATGAGAAGAGCTTTGCCAGTGTATGCAGTAGATTTAGAAAAAACTACTTGGGCTTTTCCTTCTCTTTTCCATAGCAAATGCTGCAAGTTACCGAACCCAACAGCCAGCTTTTGCACTGCTGCTTCCACACTGAAAGGGCACATTCAGAGATGCTGCAGCAATCAGCCATGGTCAGCCCATACTTGTGGTCCCTTTTTGAGGCCAACCTACTGCTGCTTTCAAAGGCTGGATGGTTTCCAGGAGGTTTACACCAATCCAGTCAGTGGAAAGGGGAAAGAGAGAGGAAACCTCAGTGTTTCCTTGCTTTCTTTTTAGTTCATGCTGCCTTGTCATACAAAACACTCGAGGCAGTGTAACTGGAAAGACCTCTGTGGAGAACAGAGCTGGAGGTAACCCTGCTCTGACTGGCTTGTGGCTGTGGAAATCCAGCTTCAGGTGGTGCTGTACGGAATGTTGCTGTACGGATGGTGCTGTACGGAAGGTTGCAGGAGCAGTTGGGTTTGCTGCTAATCTGAGGCTCAACAGCTTTTGGTTTCAAACTCATGATCTTTCTTTTAGACATGCAGAGCAATGTGCACGGAGTCTGTGGGCATCTGCAGGGCTCGGGCAGCAAGTCCTGTGTCTTGCCCCACATTTCTAGCTGTGGGCAGCCTTGGGGGAAACCTGAAAGCACAGAGGAGTACAGGTGACAGCAGAGCACAAATGGGCACACCTAGCACTCACTGAAAACCAGGGACAGAAGAAGTTTGTTTGACAATGACCTGGCAAACCCACTATTCCACCAATGCTGCTTTAGGTAGTCCTTGCAGTTTGCTCTCCATTCCAATAACTTCCTCTTCTCCAGGGCCAAAGAATAAGAACTGAAGAAAAGAGGTGTCACACAGGCGAGGGTAAAGAGGGAATGGCTGGATCATCCCTCTTCTCAGGGATGAAAGCCCCAAGAAAGACATCTCCAGGCTCCAAAGTGGGCAGCAGTACTTCACAGCTGGGGGTCCTCACACATCCTTGTCCTCAGGGTCCCTTTCCCAGTCCATTTTCCATGGCCTGTCAGGATTTTATTTCACACTGTTTAACCATTACAGCCCCCAGCATTCAGTTTTTCCCATAGTGCTGCATTAATCTTTCAACAGATCTGGTCCTTTATTCACCATTTAAGAAGATTTGTGAACATTTTACTGCTCTTGTTTTACAAAAATGTCCCTCTTTGGGCTGAGGTGAGATTATTTTCACTGGATCCCTGTGCAGTTCTGGGAGAGAGGTGTAGATTTCTGCCTGGGAGCACAGCAGATTCCCTCCAGATTCAACTGGCAACATGTGTACCAGTCAAGGAGAGCACTGCTTTATACCATGGGCATTCTCCACCCTGTGTCCAGTTCTGGGTTGTACTGTGGCCATGGCTGCGTGTCTTGGAAGCGCAGGTGTATTCCTGAAGTGTGTGAAGCATTGCCAAGGACAGGCAGGACAGAGTCTCTTGCCCACAGGCAATCCTGATGGCAAGAGAGAGATGTAAGTCCTGCAGAGCTGGTCTTCAGCAGCACCTGGTTCACCCCTTCATCAGTCAGCCCTTCTCAGCAGAACTGCAGGCTGTAGCTGTTGCATTCAGACCCTATCATGGCTTAGGCTGAGGAGGAGCTGGGGTTCATCTCTGCAAAGGGTCTGGGAAAGCAAGATTTGTGTAAGTTTTGAGGGCTTTTCTTTCTAGAAGTAGCTATACAAAATCAATCATTGGTGTGCATATACCCTGAGGAGACTTCATAACAGCAACGTCCCTGCAATGTTCCCCCTCCTTCCAACAGCAATGGAAACTGTGGCTCCAGGACACAGCAAGCACAGGACGTAGCTCACCACGCAGGACCTGTCTGCTGTTCACCATACAACCAGATCGTGCTATCGGTGCTAGTTGCCTTTCCAAGACAAAGGCAATGAAAGTACCCAGCTGATTTTGAGATACCATGTGGTCACTAAAATGTAATTTCATTATTTTTTGAATTATCAGTAGAACGGGTGAAGGGCCAGTACAACACCAGAGCAGCCGCAGAGGGTGGGGAGGGCGTGTCTTGGCTCTGCCAGCTGCAGGTTGGCATGACTTCCAGCACCAACCCAGAGAGCAGACCAAGGGCATTGACGTTACTGTGAGAAAGACATTCTGCAAACAACAAAAGAAAAATTTAACCAAGTATTTACCAAGTGTCATTAATTCATTGCCAAAGTTGTTTCTCTGAGTCTTAGTGGAATCCAAATGGAAAAGCCCATCCTTTTGTAAATCACCATACTTAATAACCTGCAGCCTCAGCCATGGCTACCCTGGGAACATGTGCTTGAAGAGCACCTGGCAGCTTGCTCTGAGCAGGCAGGAACACAGTCTTCCTTCCAGCCTGTGGGTACAGTGTAGGGGAAACTCCAGGAGATCCCAATCCTGGTTTGCAGGAGACAGCCATCAGTTTTACAGCTTAAGAAGGCAGGTTACTTGCAGTAAAGCCATGCAGCAGAGTTCAAACAGCCAGCGTTTTTAGATCTCCTCATATGGATAAATTAATAAAACATCAAATTAATTTAGCTAGAAATAGGACAGAAATCACAAGCCAAAGTTTACCACAATGATTTGCATTACAGTAACAAACATGAAGCTTAATCATAGCTGTACATATCTATTTCCCCACAGAAAAAGCTATGCCTTCTTCTCATCATGGGTAGCTCATAAGGGGTTGTGTGTGGAAACAATGCTAGTTTTCCCCTACTAATGAAATCCCAGTTTAATCCCACGTGCTCTGTTCAGCAGTGCACATTTCATCCCATGGGGTAACCCTGGCACAAAGAACATTGTGCCAGATTCCCCCAGGTGCGAATGGGCACAGCTCCTTTCCAGTCAGTGGAGCAACCAACCTGATGTTGCTTACGTGATGTTTGCTGACTGCAAAGAGCACAGCCTCTCAGGGATGTGTAACTAACTCAGGAATCAGAAAAACATTTCTGTTAAAATTAGCTGGTGTACTCAGTAGTATCTGGCTGAGGGGGATAAGAGCATTCCTTTCTCACTACATAAAAACTTCTTCACTGAATTCATTAATCATTCTTATCAGCATCCCTTTTGTTCCTGGGCTATAAGACTATTTGAACTAAAAGCTTCTCAAGTCCAATTCCATTCCAAGTGATGAGTATCTTCAAGGTCATAAATTAACGCAAGCAATTGCTACATTATCTACATGAAAGTCTTCAGTGGAGGAGAAGTGACCCCGAGAGAGAGAGAATAACATTTGTCTGACCTCTTTGCAACCTCCTAGGCAGGTAAAGATCTTATAAACAGGCAATTTAGTAGCAGATAGAGAAAAATTAGCATTTTCCTTGTTATAAAGAGGGTGGTGGTTGAAAACCAGACTAAAATATCTTCACTTTGCTTTTTAGCCTCCTAATGTTGGCCCACATTGTACGGAAAACAAACTAGTGAGCATTCTGATATCTTCAAGTGCATTTCTAATTTCCTTTATCTGTGATTATCATATACATTTTGATATTTACTGCAGCTGTTTGTTCTGTCACTTGTGGACTATTTTGAGAGAGCAATTCATTATTGAGCACAAATGCCCAAGTATCAAGCTTCCAGGATATGCTGAGGTGGGGTTCCTTGATGTCAGCTATGAAACGGAGGATATATGTATCACTATACATACATGTATATATATGTACATGTGTGCTTATGCCAGGCTTACAGCTAGTAAGACTGGAGGGATGGGGTACTGGCTGCTGTGAAGCAGTTACGTGGTTTTACTTACATTTTAGGGCTGAAACAGGCATTTGGAATGCCCCTGGCTGAGGGTGCAAGGCAGCCACCCCTACCAAAAACAGGTGGCAAGAAGATTTCCACGATGACATCATGAAATCAAACCGTGAAGAAAAATCAGGCTAAGTTCATCCCATGCTGCAGGCTAACAGAGTATCTTCAGAGTGGGACAGAGAACTGAAATATAAGGGGGTTTATCCTCATTTAGATATTCACTGTTGTTTTACTGCAATTTATTTATTTCACTGGTATACATAGGTGTGTGTACAAACACGTATGCATATATAAAAGCTAGATAAAGAGAACCACCTGGATTCAATACATTTCATATAATTACTTATTAAAATAGTTTGGGAAATGAATAATTGAAATACTGGTTCTCAAAAAAAAATATGAAAAACCCAAATATTTTTACAAGTTCAAGCTTTTCCATTACCTACTTTAAAATATTAAAAACCCCACAGTAATTGCTAAAGAGTGCAGATAAGACAGAAAAGTGAAACTTTTGTATGCAAAATGGTTTACATGGAGAAAGCACGTGCACACTCCAAAGTAAAAACACTGTTAGACTTTTAGAAAGATTAATTGGAATTTCAGCCTCAAGGTCAGCTTTGAATATCCCAGTGGAATCAGATACTTCTTATCAACTCATAAATGCAGGCAAAAAAATGTCAGCTACATGTTTTAATTTACTTTCTAGGGATAAATTTCCAGCTCACAGATCTTACCATCCCACTGGCAAGTTCAGACAATGGTAACCAGCATGCATACTTAACATAGTTTTGCATTAATACAACACATCCTATAAGCATAGCCATACAAACTTTCTTGCCTTTTCACAGTATCATGTTACCCAGCAAGTCATCTAGAGATTTGGCAAGGAAATTTGACATAATTTTCTTGAAAAAAACTAGAATAAAATATTTCCATTCTTTTCAGGTGAGGGAAGTTATACTATCTTGGATAAATCTTTGGGGTATTTTAAAGTTCTATTTAAATACATAAATACCTGGGCTTACTTATCCAACACTTGCCATCTCTTTGACAGAAAAATTGCAACACCGAGACATGTAGAGTTTTATTTTTCTAAAATCTCACTCATTCCTATTAGTACTTGCAACATATATTCCTCACTCACCTCCCCCTAGATTAAAACTGTTTCTATCAAGGTTCACAAAGGCTGCTGTCCCCACATCTAGTCCTGCTGCTCTGCCCAGTCACAGTGCCCACCAGTTTCTGCAGGATAAACAAAGACAAGTCTCAGAGCTGTGTTAGGATTGGAAACTTCTATGAGTCCTGCACCATACCTCGGTATTTCCACAGCAAGAGGGTGCATATGCACATGCAGTCAGTCCCAGTCTGCATGGATGGCATCCTTGCCAGTAGAGAGAGATAGCTGATACCCAAAGGCAGAGCAGAACAGCTGGGATAAGTTTTGACCAGTTTGCATAACTTGGGAGCAGTCTGTATCTATGTTACCTGAAGTCACCTCTGCGTGTTTTTACAAAGCACACAGGTGTAGCCCAGCATGCTAGCCCTTAAATTTAGCAGGATTAAACAGGTCCGAGGTGGCATTTAACATTCCCACTAGGTTTGTTCATCCCTAGGTTTTACTCTAGCAGAAACCTCAAAGCAGATGAAACTGTTTTTCCCTTTTATCTAGTTTATCATACTGCAGTACTCAGAACCATCCCTGCAGAGAGCTCTAAAGAACCTATTCTCCAAAATTATTTTACACATTGCATAATCTTATTTAGTGAACTGTCTTTAAGCACTACAATTAATTGGGATATACACTATTTTTTAATCGACAACACAACTCACAGCTACTCAACAACCACGGTCCTTGTGAGGTAAGAAGTGTTACAATCAGGAACTATTTTACAACCCAGTGTGGTGAGGCAATGGGACAAACCTACAAGGTGAGTAGGAGCTGCCTCAGTAGCCTATCAAGCCAAGTGTCTGTCAGGGCACACCTGATACGCTGAGATGCAAAACACACTGCATAGTCATCATGAATCTGAGAAAGCTGAACACACTTAGTCACAAGTCCTGCACAGTTCTCCATCCACCACTTCGGTTAACCCTGTAACAGGCCTCATCCTTGGAATAAAGCAGAGATTGCTACTCAGCCCTACTTCCCTACTGGGAAGGTAGTTTGAGGTAAGATACCCAAGTTCACCATTGCTCCCCTGATCCTAAATTCTTCACTAAAATGACATGCAGGAGCAGGAGCTCATTGTTTTTAGAAAAGTGAAGCAAAGGAGGTTTAAGGAGTAAGGTGCTTTTGAGACGTTTTTTTACTTCTTCATATGTAAGTAACATACAGTGACCTCAAACCTGAAGGAGGGTCCTAACTGAAGTGTTCTTACTCAGGAACTGCCAATCCCCCAGGTGAAGGTAGAGAAAGCATGAAGAGAAACAACTGGTTCATTAGGACATGATAAAAGGAAGCTGGTAGAACCTCCAAAGCCCCTGTATAAATCAACAATCTGAGAATACTTCATGCAAGACCCTAAAAATGAATTTGAAATGAAAATTGTTTAATCCTTCACTTTTCCTTAACTTCTTATAAATAGAGTTCAGTGGTTGGCAGCAATGAAGAAGGAATAGAGTACTTTCTTTGCTCCAGATTTTGCTGTAGCCAGATCAGAGATGAGGGAAAATGTGCCATCTCAGTGCATGTTCTTCCCCTCTCATGGGCCAAGTAGAACAAAAGGGGAGGAAACGGTAGTGCTGGGGCTAAGTCTCCAGCTCAGTAGCAGTCTGGACATGTTGATCTCAATCTTTTTTTCCCTGAGAGCTATTTTTAAACTATTTTCTAAGTAGCTTCTCTTTCTTTGATACTTAATTAGTTCCAATTAAAATAGAGTACATTTAAGTAGTATACATTGCAGTTTGATGAGCAACATTCAAAATACAGTAAATAATAATAAAAAAAATGCACTTACATTGAAATACATGTGCCCTTTTTATCTCCTTAAGACTTCCAAAGGGATTTGGGTTATGAATCACAAACATTCCCCTCAGCATTAGGGTTTTATGAGTCAGAAAGATAGTCATCATTAATCACTTCTCTAGAATTTTAACAAGGTGGTTCCTGCTTGTTGAATGTTTTCATTCACATCAGTCATTTACATAGCATAAAAGGTATGCCTAGCACTTTAGAGACAACTAAGACAAAAATCTTTACTTTGTATTGTTTATTTTCATGCTGTGAGATATATTTGCATTTCTGTATTTCCATATCATTTTTATATAGTTCCTACCTTTACTACTCACCATTTTAAGCAGGAAGCTATTTACACACTTCACTTAAGACTTCAATATTATTGTAACCATGAAAGTGTTTTATGCTATCTCCCCTCTGAAAGGAATACAAATCACTGTTTCAGTGTTAGACAGTTTTGGGGTTGAGGGAAGGCACCCCAGTTCTCCACCAAACACTTAAACTACTTGCATCAGCATGTCTTTTAAGAAGCAGTAACGGAGGTGCCAGAGATGCTGTAACCCGACTGGCTACTTAAAAAGAAAAAAATACCTGGAAATGAAATAGATTTTCCACTCTTAAAAAAAAAGAGAGATAGGATACCTATTCCATGACTGCCACTTAGTTCAGTATATTTAAGCAAAGAATAAGGAAGGTTTCATTTCTTTTTCCTAGCACAGTTTATCAGACACTTTCTTATCCTCCTCTACACAATGAAAAAAACCCTCATAATATAACTACATCTGCACTCCATGAAAAAACTGTATATGCTCACATGTTTTTTCAGGACTTCACTCATGCTTTCCTCTGAGTATCACAGCTGTGATTTTGGACTTCAGTGCCACAGATTAATGAATCAGCCCACAAGAGAGACCAGAGTTATGAAACAACTGTGAAAACAATGCAATTAAGGACACGGTTTCAGCAGTACTCTGTCACAAGCTGTTTATTAGAACTTCACTTTGACAATAAATAAGGTATTTCCCAAGCAATCGAAATGTAATTATTTAGAAAGTTAAACAATGCAAGTTTTCACAATGCAATTTTTAATATATACATAATTTACTGTATTTTAAACACCAGTTCATCTGGAGCTGTACAACAGTAGGATGTCTGTTTTTTAAATTCACACAGCAGAAGACTACCAAGACACATCTTTCATCTGGAAGCTGTGTGTGTAAAAATAATCGCAAACCATATCAGCTTCAGGTTGGATAGTCCAACTGTTAAGAACAAATCCCTCTGTTCGTTAGACCAGCTGCTGAATTTCAATTTGAATGTATGGCTTACCCAGGAGAAACTGTGGCTTTTTAAAGTTACAGTTTTAAAGGATAAATAGGCTGCTCAATTCCAACAGTATGATGCAACCATTTGTAGTTTACGGTGCTACTGCACAACCTATTCTGCTCTCTAGACTAGTGGCACAGGGTAAACTTCTGTAAAGAATGATCATTTTCATTGTTGTATGTCTCTAATAGTAAGTACAAACTTTGCACTTAAACTGTGTACTGTTAACTATGAAAACATCTTTCACTTTTGGTCACATGAATTAGCATTTCTTCACTTAAATACTCAAGACATTTAATATGCCTAAATAATGCTTTTCAGAGTTTGACATTCAAAATTAACTTCAAAAGAATGTTCCTGTTAAATAAAGCACCAAGATTTCCCCATATGTTTATTCCTTAAAGAAAGTCTGTGAAATATTAGCTTTTTTTTTTTACACATTAGTTCTGTTAAGCGTTGTAATTTTAAAATAAAATTTAATTCTTATGGTTTGATCACAGTCATATTTCCAAAGTAAGTTTTACATATTCTGTGCAACATCCCATTTTCTTTAAGTGCAGAGGTACAGGTCTCAAAGTTATGCAGCTGCAATCGAGTTATCATCTGCTTGACGACCCTGAGGCTTTAAGAAAATAAAGACAGAGAATTAAAAAAAACCAAACCACCCAAACAACTCCCCCCCAAAAAAACCAAATACCAAACAGAAAAGGCTAAGGCTACTAGGAAACTAACTTTGCAATACACTGTGTTATCAATGTAGCTCTGGTACACAAGTGTAGCATTAAGCTTATCCTGACTTCTAAACGTTTCCAATAGCAGCAGAAACACAGAGGACATCCAGCTGAAATTTCAGTTTGGGCCAGTGAGTACTTATTAGAGGCTTCAGCTCTTTAACTGCCCTGTTAAATGCCTTCTCCATACACATCTGGACAGCTTAGCACAAGGCCCAGCTGATCAGAGTTTTGATCTTTATTGCAGGACAGAAAGCTGAAAATTATCAGTGCATAAAACAGGAATGAGACTGACAGTTTCTTGGAGGAATTTTAAGCAACATCACTAGAGATGGGAGAGAGCAAGGAGGAAGTTTTAAAGAAAAGGCATCCGTCAATAAGCTTTTCTGAGGTCTTGACAATTCCAAAGCAAAATCAAAGAATTCTGAAGCCTGAAAGAGTCCACAGGAGTGTTCTGAACAGCATGCTTTTGAGGGTAAATGCCTTTTCAATTTACTTAGGGGGACACCTTGACAATCAATTTTTACATGTAAAAAGTAAGTTCTGCCTATCTGTTTTTGTTAAAACAAAATTGAAAGAATGGCAGGCCTGTTTCCTAGAAACATGATTAAAGATGTCTGGACAAGTCCATCTCAAATCATACAAACAAACTCTTCAGGTTCCTTCGTTGTTAAGAGCCTGAATAAAAAGTGAAGAAAATATTCTGGAGACAGCAGCAGTGGAATGAGGAAGCATTGTTTTAGGCAATTGAACTTAAATGATTCTTAAAAAGTCAAAAGACCACTGTGATCTGTTTTTCATGGCATGAGTGAACTGTCTTCAGAGTTATATCACTTATGAAAAAAATCTAGACTGAGTGATTCACTGACAAAATGTGTTTTTAAAAGTTATTTAGGGAGGTGTGGGATGCTACAGTGTCTCTGAACCTAGTCATATGGGTTGCTCAAACACTTCTTTTTTCAGAAGTGCTACAAGTTTTGGTATTGAAAGTATTTAATTATATTTAGCTCACTCCACTACGCTCAGCATAGAGGAAACTTTGAAACCCATTTAACAGAGTAAGACATGGAACAAAACAACAGGGAAAGGACAAGCACGTTCAGCTTGTTCACCTAGCAGTAACCAAATATGCATTGCACTGAAACCGATTTCCTGAAGATTTTGGTTGACAACACCAAGGCACAACACGAGATTTTTCAAAGCAAGTAACTCTGTTACAAGCTGGCTGTTTTAGTCTGCTTGGAAACACTCAGCTGGAACAGAGCTGGAATGGTTGTCCCCCAAAACCTGAGGAGAGCTTTTAAACACAGGTCACTTCCCACAGCCTTACCTTTACAAAAATGTGTGTCGGGATGAATCGTCTGAGCAACTGATTGGTGAAGTTTGGGAATCGCATCAAGTTAACGTGAATAGAAGGTAACTGCTGATATCCAGCCATCAGAGGATAGAAGTTATATAACATTTCCTGCTCCGTGCCAGGAAGGATTCTTAATCGAATCTTAAAAAAAAAAAGAAAGCCACAAATATAGGTGTTCTGTGTCTAAAAGCAGTCCTCTGGTTACTTTCTACTTATACAATGGTTACTTTCTGAAGCTGGAGAGAATGTAAATAATTGCCTATTCTAATTTAAACTATTGCTTCTACACTGAAACACCATGTTACCTATAAACAACAAGACAAACAGCTCCTAGTCAGACTTCCATTTAGCCCTTTTTCAAAGGGAATCTGCATCTCCATATTCTTCCAGACAGAATTTACCATACTTTGAACACCTAAAATCCAATGAGTTTGTCCTCTCTGCACATCAGCAGAAGTCTAATCAATGTATTCTTCACTACCAGATAAGCCAGCAAGACCAGTAGATGTGACAGTTTTGTACCTGTTTAAGGCCAGAGAACATGAAGGCATCACTGGGTTCCACGGACACCTCCACATCCTGGACTAAGTTGGTCTTATTTTGCAGGTGATACCTGACAGGTAAGGATTCTCGGACTCGACCGAATGATGGCAGATCTTCAGAAAAAAAGTAAGAAATCTCAAATACAAAGTGCATTTCAAGTTCCATTAAAAAAAGAAAAAAAAAAGTCTATTGCAAAAAGCAGTGAAAAGTTTGAAGAAAAAAAGATAGAATAACTAGGCATCTAAAGCATTTCTGACAAGTTTTTTTAGAAACAGATTAAAGAACAGAACACAACTTCATTACAATTTTCCAGTAATTCTTCAACATCTAGTTACAAACCTCCTAACTGCTAACACTGCCCAAGAATAATAACTAGGAAGTCACTTTGGTTGCTGCTGGGTATTTTCAGCTTACCAAAATCTAACCAGATACTGTCAAGAAGCTCCTTTAAAATACAGGATAGGATGGTGGAAGAATCTCAGTAAAAATGAAGCCAAACCAAGGAAAGCATCAGAATTATGTGTGTTCAGTGAGCATTTCAGTACCCCTCTGTTCTTGTGCAGGTGAAATGCTAGAAGAGAAACAGTTCACCTGCCTACAAGCATCTTCAACTCTCTAGGTTATTTCTTTCCTGGGATGCAGCCAGGGTGGGCGTGGATGGAACAATTGTCACCATAGGCATCCAGAGAAACCTACTGGGAAGGCAGCATCAGCACAGGTAAGTCCAGCTTCTGTGCTGCCGTGTAATAAAGGTCAATCCATTGACAGCTTTTAGGAGAAAATATTCATGTAACTAGCTTCCTGCTCTTCCCTTCAAGGGGGAAAAGCAGGGCAAGGCTTGAGGCAGTCTAAGTGACGATATGGTTTATTTCACTAGCCCCATAATATCCAGCATCAGTTTTCTGTCTTTTGCTACAGTCAATGCAAGCTCTGGGTTCTGTAAAAAAATTTTGGCAGTCCTAAAAATTCTAACTGGGACGTATATGTTGCCAAATTAATATTACCTGCATTAACATGGAGGGGAATGCTCTCTACAATCACATGTGGTAGAGTGATGACTGTGCTAACAACAGGTACACTTTCCACAGGTGAACTTCTGCAGGAAAAAGTCAAATGCAGACCATGTTGAATATTACACAACATAAAGTACCAAGCAAGTACACCAAAAGAACATCATTATATGTGACTAAATTAATATTTCAGTAGCTTCAAATAAATTAGTAGTTTCAGTGGTGGAAATAAAAAACAGAAATACACAAGTATTTCATGACTGGAGAAGACAGGGAGTAGAAGGTGACAAAATAGCTTTGTAATTGATCTAAGATCTTCCATGAAGCTTTCTTCTTTCTAATGCTAAAACCATAATCCTATATTTATCTCTTAAGTGAAATATGGATTTATCAAAAGTCTAACTAACTAAGCAGTAACTAGTAAGGTCCAAAGTC